CCTCATCAGCATCATCAGCATCAGCATCGTCATCATCATCATCATCACCATTACCACCATCACCATAATCATCATCATCATCACCATCATCACCACCATCATCATCATCATCATCACCATCATCATCATCATCATCATCATCATCGCAACATCATCATTAGCGTCATCATCATCCTCATCACCATCACCATCACCATCAGGATCAACATCTACATTCACCACCACCAATAATCGGCATTACCGTGTACATGACCAACACCATAACCATCACCATCAACATCATCACCATGACCAACATCAAAACCTTCCGCGAGCCTCGAGCCTCGAGCCTCGAACGTCGAGCCTCGATCCTCTCCCTTCCCTCATCCGCCTTCCGGGGTCACCCAGGCGTCCATGGCACTGCGATGTTGGCGGGCAGGCTGTGGCTGATGTCGGCCTCGCCCCAGACCCAGGCGTGCCCGATCCACGAGAGCAGCAGAAGGGCCCTCTCTGCGCGCGCCTCGGGGGGCGGGCGAGGGCAATGGGAATCTCATCCTCATGTCCCTCGTGTTCCTCCAGTCCCTCCTGTTCCTCTTCGTCGTCCTCCTCGTCCTCCTCCTCCTCGTCATCCTCCTCGTCCTCCTCCTGCTCCTCCCCTTTCCTCGCCCTCCTCATCCTCCTACTCCTCTTCATCCCCCTCTTATTCTTCTTCCTCCTCCTCCTCCTCCTCCTCCTCCTCCTCCTCCTCCTCCCGCTCCTCCTCCTCCTCCTCCTCCTCCCGCTCCTCCTCCTCCTCCTCCTCCTCCTCCTCCTCCTCCTGCTTGTCCTCCTCCTCCTCCTCCTCCTCCTCCTCCTCCTCCTCCTCCTTCTCCTCCTGCAGCAGGCGAGTCCACCCGACGCCCACGCAGCGATGCCACCCCCTGAGCTTGCAGACGGCCAAAACGACGGGGGCGCGCAGCAGGACAGCGTCCCAATTGACTACCTACCAGACCACCCCAACCCAACCCGAAGACCCGAATTTCGGGTTGGGGGGGGTAAGGGTTCCATACGTGTTTTTTCGATGTTTCCCGAACCCCCCCCCCACTGGAAATCGAGGGTAAATCTGAGCCTTCGGGTTGGGTTGGGGTGGTTTGGTGGGTGGTGAGGACAGCGTCCCAATGCCACCCCAGCCCCACAGCCCGCCGCCGCGGCGCGCGGTCAGCAACGCCGCCGCGGCGGCCCTCCGCCCGGCCGCCTCGCCGACGCGCTCTGCGCCCACCGCGCCCACCTGGAGCCGCCGGGCGCTGGCCCGGGGCAGGGCCATGCTCGGCCCCCCAGTTCCACCGAGCCTCCCTGAGATCCTGGCGTTGCAACTTTTTCAGCACGGGCGTTCTCGCCCAGGCTCGGACGCCGGGACCCTCACAGGTCGATCCAGCTCGGAAAACGATGCAGAGAGATGGGGTCCGGGGCTCCGGGCGCGATTTTTCGCGATGTTGCAATGTCGTTCGCAACGTCGGATCTCAGGGCACCCGCTGCCTGGCTACAGTCTCCGCCGCGGCATCTGCGCCAAGCTCCACCAGCGCGGCCTGCTCCCGGGCGAGGCCGCGAAGGTGCCGCAGGGTCGCCTGACCGTGTCGGCCATCGGTCTTCAGCACCAGCGACACCGTTCGGAGGCGCCTGCTGTGTCTTGAGCAAGGTCCGACCGTCCCGGCACTCCTATAGGTCTACCACGAGATGGTCTTAGCACAAAAGAATGTTCGAAGGACAAATACAATGTTCTCATAACATAAGCCCGACGAGTTAAAACGATACAAAGTCAGCCACACGCGTTCTACGAACATTTCGTGCAAGCCACAAAAGATTATTAGAGCATTCTTTGAAGGGCCTATAAGAGAGCCAAGACGCCTCGCCACTGCTTCATTGTCGGGTAGCGCAGGTACTTGTCCGCCTCCACGGCAGCATGCACGGGCTCGTCACGGCCGGCGGCTGCCCGCAGCACGTCGACGGCACGCGGTAACGCTGCACCTGACGGGGACGTCGAAGGAGATTGATTTTCAGCGCTATTATGGAGGGGAGGAGGAGGAGGAGAAGGAGGAGGAGGAGGAGGAACGGACACAGCAACACGATGACAGGCTCGGCGACGCAATCGTGAAGCCACTGACCTAGCATAAAAGTTGTGCACACAAAAGGAAGTGAAACGTCCGGCAACGGTGGCGGACTGTTTCGCAGAGCTGCTGCAACGGTGACGTTGAAGAAGGTGCGCGGCTCACCAAGCTGCTGCATCTCCATCTCCAGAAAGGGTCTCCTCGCGCTGAGCGGCCAGGCAGTGGCCGCAGGCGGCGCAGGCAGCGGCCAGCCACGCCGCGGCGGTCCCGCGCGCGTTGCATCTGGCGCAGCGCCATGCCCATCAGCCCCACGCCTTCTCCCCCTTCTCCTCCTCATACCCCTTCCTCTCTGGAGCAAGGGGCGTGACGAAGCTCCCAAGAATGCCCCAGCATGGCCCCCAACGCGCTTCCAAAAATAATCCCGCCGCTCTAGAGCGTCAAGTTTGCCCAACGCCCTTATCCCGGCCGCGGGTAATTAGTGCGACCAAGATGGCCATAGATAACTCCGAGATGGTCCAAGATAGACCTAGGTGGCCTACAGGATGTCCCCACAATTGCCCTCGATAGCCCCAAGATGGCCTCCAAAATGGGACAAGCTAGCCCAATGTGTCGCATGCCGCCGTGAGGCCCCAAAACGGCTCAAGGCGGCTACATTCTCTTCCAGTGATGCTGCGTAGAGGCCGACTTGCTTAGAAGCATGATGCTTGTTCACTTTGGTTGGGCTTCTAAGGCCTCAAGAGCATCCCAGCAGGGCCTAGGGAGGTCCAGGGAAGGCCCCAGTGGGAGGGTTCGCGTGGCGCCACCGCACCCATTTCGGCACACCCCTCACACGCTTCCCGTCCCCATAGGGAGCTCCACCGAAGGCCCCAGTTGGAAGGTTCGCATGGCGCCACCGCACCCAGTTGGGCACACCACGCACACGTTTCGTGGCCCCAGAAGAAGCTCCACCGAAGGGCCCAGTTGGAGGGTTCGCATGACGCCACCCCATAGGGAGCTCCACCGAAGGCCCCAGTGGGAGGGTTCGCGTGGCGCCACCGCACGAATTGCGGTACACCGCTCCCACGTTTCGTGGCCCCTGAGGAAGCTCCACCGAAGACCCCAGTGGGAGGGTTCGCATGGCACCTCGCGTGGCGCCACCGCAACCATTTCGGCACACTCCTCGCACGCCTCCGTCTTCGCCTCACCTGCCTCGCGATACTCGCGGCTGCATGTGGCTGGGCCCGTCGCCTGGATATTTGTTCGCATGACCGAGGTGTCCGAAGGCATGGCGACAGGCTGTCGCCGACAGCTCGGCGAACCGAGCCCCACGATACGCCCTCCTGGCATCTGAGTGGATCTCATCGCCCACTCTGGCTGTGCTAAATCCCTGATTCGGACTGAGCCCCAAAAAGCAACGGACTCCCTGGTGCTGTTCCTCGGTGCTCCCCCGGAGTGCGGGAGGGGGCCGGCAGAGAGGAAACCAACAGGCACCGATACGCGCCACTCCCCGGCCCCTCTCCCGGGGCGCCTTCTGATCAGACCTGCGAGGCGAATCCGGCGGTGGCCACGCGGGGCTCCCAGGAGGCCCCCAAAAAAGGAAAACGGGGGAAGGATAGCGGCATGGGTACCCAGTTCGGTTTCGTGTTGTTGTTACTTCTGCCTCGTTTTGCCTTCGCTTCTCCTTGAATACAAAACAAAACGAAAAGCAAAACGGCCCACAACATGGCCAAAGCACCGTTCAGGTTCAGCCCTGCCCTCCTGGACTCCAGGGGGGCGCCAATGACCTCCTCGGGCCCCCTCCTGGACTCCAAGCAGCTGCCAGGCTGGAGGCGCTCCGCTCGCGGCCCACACCCCTGGAGTCCGTTGCTCTTTGGGACTCAGCCCTACGGTAGGGGACCGGCAGAGGCGCCCTTCCTGCGCGCGCGCGCCTCGTCGGCGAGAAGCAGCAGCTGCCAGGCCGCCAAGGGAGAGAGGGAGAGAGGGGAGGGAGGGAGGGAGGGAGGGAGGGAGGGAGGGAGGGAGGGGAGGGGGGGAGGGAGGGAGGGAGGGAGGGAGGGGAGAGGAGGAGGAGGAGGAGGAGGAGGAGGAGGAGGAGGAGGAGGAGGAGGAAGGAGGACGGAGGAGGAGGGAGGGAGGGAGGGAAGGAGGGAAAGAGGAGGCGTGGCAGAGGCGCCCTCCCTGCGCGCGCGCGCCTCGTCGGCGAGAAGCAGCAGCTGCCAGGCCGCCAGGTCTCCGCTGCCGCCGATCTTCGGCTCGGGCAGCGCCGCGATGCGCCAGCGCACTGTGCCCGCGCAGAGGTTCGAGGGCAGCTCCGCGACGCAGGCCTCCCAGGCCTCTCTCGGGGCGCAGGGAGTGGGGGAGAAGGAGGAGGAGGAGGAAGAGGATGAGGAAGACGAGGAGGAAGAGGAGGAGGAGGAGGAGGAAAGGGAGGAGGAGGAGGTGGAGGAGGAGGAAGAGGATGAGGAGGTGGTGGAGGACGAGGGAGGACGAGGGAGGAGGAGGCAGGACGAGGGAGGACGAGGGAGGGGGAGGGAGGAGGGAGGGAGGAGGGAGGAGGAGGGAAGAGGAGGGAGGAGGACGATAAGGAGGAAGGGCGACGAGGAGAAGGAGAAGGGCCCCCCCCACAAACGCCTCTGAGGAGGGGAGGGAGGGCGAGGGGGAGAAAGAGGCGGAGGAGGAGGAGGAGGATACGATACGATACGACAGCACTTGGGGCCAGTTCAACCGATCTTGTCACCTCGACACGCTCCTGCTGCGTGGCTGCTGTATATATATATATATATGTATTTATATATAAACAAGACTGCAGTGGCGCTTCCTGCCATGCACCTTGGTCCTTGAAGCTTGGTACGCAGGCAGAATAGCAGGAAGGTCAAGCTGACAATTTAGCGATAACTCCTTGTTGCCTTTCCGGCATCGCCGCTATAATAATGTGATTCGCTATCCTTCCTCCATGCTTCTTTGTCCTCATTTTCGCCATACCCTGCGCATTGTCCCCATCCTCCGCAGCTCTGTTTTGCGGAGGCTCCTCCTTGGAGAGCCTCTGGGGGCCTCACAAAAGTTGTTTCAGGCTTTCTTGAGGCCTTCTGGAGGCCTCCTGGGCGTATTCTGGGGGCCTCTGGGGGTTTCCTCGGGCCACTCTGCCTCCAACCGCGGTCTCCCTGAACGACCGGGTCACGATATGGAATGCTTCGGAGGGTGTCTTGGGGCCATCTTGGGCCGCCACGGGGCTCTCTGAGGGCCATCTTGGACCCGTGTTGTGCCGTTTTGGGGCTCTCTTGAACTGCCTGGAAGCCCTTTCGGATGGTCGTGGGGCGTTTTTGGGAGCCTCCCAGGCGGCTTCGGACGCCCAGGAGACCGCCGTCTTGGAGCGTCGGGAAACCGAAAAGAGGAGAACCCAAACATTCACCAAAAAACAATAGAAACTCCATGATGTTTGCCTCTTGAGGCCTTCTTGGGAGTGCTCTTGGAAACCTCTTTGGGGCCGTCCTGGAGGCCTTTTGGGCCATCTTGAGGTCACGTCGGTCACTCTTGGAGCGTTATTGTGCTGTCTTGGGGGTCTCTGGGACGTCTCCGATGGCCCCCCTGATCGCCCTAGGTGCGCTGGGAAGGCTTGGCAAAACGCCCTGCGAGGCCCGGGGGACCGCTTCGAGGCCCGCCCGGAGGATCCCAAAGCCCCAGATCCCGAGAGTCCGTTTTTTTTTTGGGGGGGGGTCCCTGTCTGGGCTTACAACAATATAGGAATATATATATATATATATATATATATATATCTGCAGATACATACATATACATCTATATATACATATACATATACATATGCTTGTACATATACATATACATGTACATATACATATACATATACATGTACGTATACACATACTTATACTTATACATATACATCTACATATACATATACATATACAGTTACATAAACATATACCTATACATATACACATACTTATACATTTACATATCCATATACATATACATCTATATTCCCGTTCAGCTCACGCGCCAGAGAGAGCATCTCACCGAGGCTCGAAGACTGTAAAACTATTCACCGCCAGAGGCACAGATCTTGCCGTGGCAGGAGGCTGGTAGCCCGACTGCTACCCTGGCCCAGCGGGCGTGGACGGGGACCCGAAGTCATCCCGCCGACGCCACCAGGCAAGGGCAGCAGGGGGCAACCAACCACCAAAAGCCACAAAAGAGCACCCCAAGAAAGGGTGGAGTGGGAGGGGAGCAAAAACAAGTCGGACTACGGACACAGAATCAGCAGAGTTTCAATACACCTGATGACTGTGCGAACCACGGCGCTCCCGCCGAACTTAGATGGATTATCCCGCAAGCTAAGGAACATCCATATTCCCGTTCAGCTCACGCGCCAGAGAGAGCATCTCACCGAGGCTCGAAGACTGTAAAACTATTCACCGCCAGAGGCACAGATCTTGCCGTGGCAGGAGGCTGGTAGCCCGACTGCTACCCTGGCCCAGCGGGCGTGGACGGGGACCCGAAGTCATCCCGCCGACGCCACCAGGCAAGGGCAGCAGGGGGCAACCAACCACCAAAAGCCACAAAAGAGCACCCACACCCGCACCAGAGTAGCGTTCTGGCCGAAGGCTTAAGAGGAGGAGCCTCCGGCACGGATGAGGTGAGACATCATCAGTGAAGCAACGGCACGAGTGAGCTGGCGAGGATACGGCTGAGCGCGGAGGGTCCAGAAGGTCCCAGTTGGGTCCTTGCCCCGAAGCTCGACGTGGGGCTTTCCAGTCCTGGAACACACACCGCGGCCAGTGCAAGTTTTTCCAACGGCCGAAAGGTGAGAGCAAGACAGGAGGAGCAAACGGGTGGGCTTAACCCAAAGCTCTCCATATTGACAGAAATGAAGCACCGTGAACTTAGTGTCATGAGATGATTGAAATTCTAGCATCTGAGGCATGTCCCATAAAAAACTCGTGTTAAGGTTTTCCAACACCGCTGGGACGTTGTGAGCTGCAGCACATCGCATTAGCGTTAACGAGGCCTCTAAAAGACGGTTCCCGTTCTCGACCTTGGCAAGGTCGGGGGCAGAAAGTTCGGGGCGGCCGTCCAGGTGCCAGGGGTCCCGAAGAGGCCCAGGGCCGCGACCATCGTTTTTTCGGGCACGAGAAAAAGACGTGCACGGCGTGCCCAACCAGAGGAAAAGACACCTACCAGAGGCGATGTACGACAGCACGCAGCGCAGAACGTCCTCGTCCAGCAAGTCGCCAGCTGGGCCGTGCTCGATGTCCCAGGACAGCGCCGGGATGCCCAGCTCCGCGAAGGATTTGGCCAGCCTACCGCTGCCTGAGAAGACCTCGATCACAAACCCGCTTGTGAGAGACAGAGGCAGGCTCTTGGCGGCCGAAGGGCAGGCTGCCATCCGCCGCGAAGGGCGAGCGAAAGGTTGGCCTCCGCCTCCTGGCACCAGCGGTTGGACACGGGCGTCATAACCTTGTGAAGCAGTTGCCCTCTGCCCGCCTTCATGCAGCGAAGCAAAGAGCGATCGTCCGTCCAGCGCTCCCGCTGCTTGACCGCCTGGATCTCCCTCGCCGACATCAGGAAGCCCCTCGACGCCCCTCCGTGGCGAAGCTGATACATCTCGATGTTCAGCGAGCCCAGGCCCGCCATGCGGAAAGGCGCCTGAAAGCGGCGCACCAGCTGCATCTGGCCGAAACTGAAGAGTCAGACCTCCACGACCCCTCTGCGCAATCCAGCAAGGAGGGCCCCCAAGCCGGGGAAGTCGGGGCTGCCGAGCGGGAGCGTGTCGTCGAGATGGCCGACCTTGGTCGGCTCCTCCCTCCCGAAAGGCCGCAGGAGTAGACTTCAACACGCGAGGGCCACACCTGCGTTGGCCACAAGCTCGAAAGGGTCGCCCTCGGCCACCGTCACGAGCTCGGACAGGCGCAGGGGGCGGATGAACATGAGGGTCAGCGCCAGCACCTCCTCGTGGAAGCCATGGGGCGACAAGAAACCCAGGATGCCCGCCAGAAGGCGGAACGGTAGAGGGTCCCTGCTGTCCACAGGCCCCTTCCGATGCCAAGCTTGAAGAACCCGCCGAAACCGAGGAAGGCTGGTCTTGCCGAACCGCAGCACGTCGTGGTCCTCCAGCGCGGCCCGGAACTTGGCCCCCGCGTCGATCTGCTCGCCGTCCAGGAACAGCAGGTCGGCAAAGCCGCACAGCGCGTCGTCGCAGACTTTCGGGTTGGCCAAGGAGAGACCTCGGCTTCGCCCGAACTCCCAAAACCTGTCGGGCCGCCGACAGCAGTCCCTCCTGAGCACCAGGTGTCGAGCTGGCCGACGTGTCTTCTCGGCCACCACCGTGTCCAGAGGGTCCGCCGTCGGCGAGAGCACCACCGCCAGGATCGACGACCCGCCAGCTCCCCTTGCCGTCTGCCTGCGCCGTCCAGGCACGAGACGTGGAGCGGCGAAGCAAGCGTCGGCCGTCGCTGTCAACTGGAAGCTCAAAGTAGCGTGAATCAGGGTCACTCGGGTTCAGCTCTGAAGGCACCCACCTGAAGTGGTGTCTGGTGTTGGAAGCCACGCTCAGAGCCAAAAGACGACGACAGGCACCCAGAAGACCTCGATGTTTGGCCCTCCCCTTCTCGAAAGCCAGGATAGCGGTCATGGAGTCCCCGAGGTGCAGATGAGTCTTACCGAAACTTGAGACTGCCCGTAACTTATGACGCACCGCCAGCAGGCCCGCACGGGCCTCAAGACAGAATATCGGCTCCTCGTCCTTCCAAAAACTCCGAACGACCTTGGTCCAGGTGGGGCCCACAAGGTTCTCCTTCGGGACCTCTCTGAACGAATTGTCCAGGGACCAGAGCGACGCAAAGGGGACCGAACTAGAACCAACCGGCGCGACCGGCGCGACCGGCGCGACCGGCACCGGCGCGACCAGCGCGATTGCGACCGGCGCGACCGGCGCGACCGGCGCAACCGGCGCGACCGGCACCGGCGCGACCGGCGCGACCGGCGCGACCGGCACCGGCGACCGGCGCGACCGGCGCGACCGGCGCGACCGGCGCACCCGGCGCGACCGGCGCGACCGGCGCGACCGGCACAACCGGCTCGACCGGCGCGACCGGCACCGGCGCGACCGGCGCGACCGGCACGATCAGCACGACCGGCGCGACCGGCGCGACCGGCGCGCCCGGCGCGCCCGGTTGGGGGCCTCCGGGGGGCCTCTTGGGGCCATCTTGGGGCCTCTTGGTGCCTCCTGGGCGCTTCGGGGGGCCATCTTGGAGGGCATGGATCCAAGAAGAGGGGAGCTTTAATGAGCGCTGCTCCCTCGGAAGGGCAAAATGAG